ATTTTAATAAGGTGACAAAGTATCCCTGTCAGTTTAAAAACTTTGTTTAAAGCGCATTTATGTTATGGCTGTGTAAACAACCATTTTCCTACACTTGCATTTAATGGTGTTTATGTATTAGATAAAAAATGCAATAACTTTTTTTATTAGAAATGCTCTTTCTTCAACTCCAGGATGACCCTCTAAAGCACAATCTAAATGGAGGATTTGTTATCCGAACTCTGAATTAAAAAAACTTATGGACCTTTCCTCAAAGGTTATTTATCCCAAATGAAATTAAAGAACTTCATTTCAAAATTGCTCATAGATACTACCCATGCAATTAATTTTTGAGCAGATTTTCTGAGAATATATCCACAATGTGTTCACTTTGTAATACTGATGAAGAATCTATTCTACATATGTTTTATCATTGGTCAGAAGTTACCATGTTAATTTTTTCCTGCTGTAACAAAATGATAGAAATAACAGAATCTATAATTTTTTTGGTCAGATTTTCATTCCAAGGACATTAATCTGGAACATATTGTTTTATTGCTTTGTCTTCTGGGTAAATTTCACCTTCATAAAGCCAGAACCATTCATTGCAAACCTAACTTTAGAATGTTTTCATCTGATATAAAGTCCCTTTTTACTTCTAAGAATAAGTCAAATCCTTTGAACTCAAAGGCTTCTAAAACTTTTAACATTCTTGAGTCTATTGTAAGCTATCTTTAAAATACTTTCCTTTCTTTCTTTTTTTTCTTCTTTATCATTGGTATATTTTGTTAATTTGTGTAGCTTGTCTAACTTCATGTGATGTTCGTTAGCACCACGTTACTTCATAACTGTTGTTATTCTTTCAATTGCAATAAAAAAAAAAAAGAGTGAGCGCTTGGCTGCTGATCCGCCATTTTGGCGCCAGTGGTTTAAAACGGTGCCACTTCGTGGAATCTATTCATCTTCCCTCGGATAGTAACGCCTGTGACAATGATGACGTATTTTTGACAGTGGTTTCGCACACCGCACTTCGTGTCGCAAATACGCATGTCGTGCGTGTAACAGAGCTGTTGTGAAAACAAGCGTTGTGTCTGTAAACTGTCATAGTCGTACATTTTGGAGTTGTACTCTAACAAACATACAAAATCTCGTATCTGTAAACTGTCGTGGGCATAGATTTTGGAATCCAACTCTGACAAAAAAACTGAATTACATACAATACTTTTAAATTACGCACGAGTAAATTAAAATGACACACAAATGCTTTGAATTACGTATGATTATTTTTGACAGTGATTTTATTCCATACTCTGCCAGGATCAGGAAACAGTCCTCCATAAAATGTGCTGCACATCTGAATATTTGGGTTGAACTGTTCTGGAACAGAGTTGTAAATACAACTTAACCACTGATTTCTAGTCGTGTCCTCTTTTGGAAGGCCAAACAAAGTATTTTCGCTTTCACAACGAAACCCAGTGTCTTCACAACATGGCGGTGGCGGTGGCAGCAACAATAAAGTAAAGCCTTCTTTCTTTGCGTCAACATTTGGGCGGCGTTATGCAAATCTTCCTACACAATGATGTAAACATGTGAGGCCAGGATCAGGAAACAGTCCTCCATAAAATGTGCTGCACATCTGAATATTTGGGTTGAACTGTTCTGGAACAGAGTTGTAAATACAACTTAACCACTGATTTCTAGTCGTGTCCTCTTTTGGAAGGCCAAACAAAGTATTTTCGCTTTCACAACGAAACCCAGTGTCTTCACAACATGGCGGTGGCGGTGGCAGCAACAATAAAGTAAAGCCTTCTTTCTTTGCGTCAACATTTGGGCGGCGTTATGCAAATCTTCCTACACAATGATGTAAACATGTGAGGGCGTGTTTGAACAAGGTGTTTTAGGTGGGTGTGGACGAGTCTTAACTTTTATAAAGAATATCTCTTTAGGTTTGAGACTTTAGTCTTTGCAACTTTAGGGATCTTATCTATTCATGAACAGCTTGTAACAATCCAAAGAGAATGGAAAACTTGAAATCGCATCATATGACCCCTTTAAATTATGCGAGTGTGCGGCTTTATGTGGAAGACAAGAGAAAGCGCGTGCAGATCAGAGGCGCGCAGTAAAGAAACATACAAACAAACCCTGTGCTTATGATATGCTTTTCAGGCTACGCTTAGCTTCACTTCAGCTATTAAATTGTAATTATATTATCATTATAATGCGATTTGACTACTTTGATGTCTACATTTTATTAAAAGCTTATTTCAGACATGAAATTCTGCAAAAATTCAGCATTAGAATAATCAGAAACATCTGCAAAGTTTTAATTAGTTTACATGGTTATGACAACTTAAAATAACCTGTAGGGAACATTCTCTGTAGGTTATAAAAATACAACTTAAAATTAACCTGCAAGGAACGTTCTGGCAAGGTTCTTTTTAAGTTATAAAATTAAACCTAAAAGTAACCTGCAGGGAACGTTCCTATTTGGTTCCTAAAAAAATAACCAAATGGGAATCATATGGGAACGTTCTGTGTTTGTTGGGATTAAACACTTTTAAAAGACACAGCCTCAGCATGATTATAATCACAATTTTGTTTTATTAAGAGTTTCATATTGAATCTAGGGGGTAATCTATTAGACTATGGTTGTCAAATGCGGCTTTACCGAGCTCAAGGGCTCTGGGCTTAGCAGATATAAACAAAACGCTATTGGCTATTTTAAAAAGGGGGCGGGGCTGCTCGATATGTCCCGCCCTGTCTTCCTCCTTCAGATGAAATTACGTCACCACATAGAACAATGCTGCAAGTTTCAAGGCACTTCAGGGGACCTTTAAAGGAACATGCGCAAAAAGACTTTCCACACTGAGAGCAGGTGAAAGGCTTTTATGAAGTGCGAGTTACCAAATGAAACTTACAGTGTCCTTTATGTGTAAAAGTCTTTCCACATTGAGAGCAGGTCAAGTCAAGTCACCTTTATTTATATAGCACTTATAACAATACAGATTGTGTTAAAGCATCTTTACAGTATCAAATAGGAAACTAGTGTATCAATAATGTAAAATAACAATAGTAAACACTCAATTTTCAAAGACAGTTCATTGAATTCAGTGATGTCAGCAGGTGAAAGACTTTTTCCCAGTATGAATTAACATGTGCTTCTTAAAGTTTGATTTATGTGTAAAATTCTTTCCACACTGAGAGCAAGTGAAAGGCTTTATTCCAGAATGAATTAACATGTGAGTCTTAAGGTATCCTTTACATATGAAACTCTTTCCACACTGAGAGCAGGTAAAAGGCTTTATCCCAGCATGAATTAACATGTGAGTCTTAAGGTATCCTTTACGTGTGAAAGACTTTGCACATTGAGAGCAGATGAAAGGCTTTTCTGAAGTGTGAGTTACCAAATGATTCTCAAGGTGTCCTTTCTGTGTAAAACACTTTCCACACTGAGAGCAGCTGAAAGGCTTTATTTCATTATGAATTAACATGTGCTTCTTAAAGCTTGCTTTACGTGTGAAAGTGTTTCCACACTGAGAGCAGCTGAAAGGCTTTTCTGAAGTGTGAGTTACCAAATGATTCTTAAGGTGTACTTTCTGTGTAAAACTCTTTCCACACTGAGAGCAGGTAAAAGGCTTTATTCCAGCATGAATTAACATGTGATCCTTAAGGCTTTTGTTACATGTGAAAGTGTTTCCACACTGAGAGCAGGTGAAAGGCTTTTCCTCACTATGAATTATCATGTGATTAATAAGGCTTCCTTTATGTTTGTAAGTGTTTCCACACTGAGAGCAGCTGAAAGGCCTTTTGACGTCTGTTATTTGAATGCTGCAACTCGCTGATTTTTCTCCATTGACATCATGATCTTTCTGACACTGAGGTTTCCCCTCCACTTCATTCAGATCTGGTCTTTCTTCTTTCATTTTCATCAGGCCTAAAATTAATAATTATAAAGATTAAAATCACTTGGGACATTTGAAAAAATAAAAAGGATAAAATATTTGTGTACAGACAAAAATGATGTCAAAACTGTCCTTTTTAACACCGATCCATGAAAACAACTAAAAATGCTGCATTATGCTGCCAGGCCAGTAGATGGCGATGTCATTTTGTAAAGAAACTACACATCTATAGGCTGAACACGTAATACTTGTGCGCGTGATGTTACTGTTTTTTACAAATTGGGATCGCTTAATACGAAGCCCGGGAAGTCACCTGTAGGAGAAAAAAAAACAATCCGTGGCGACGGTTTTGCAATCTGTTAATTTTTAAGTTAATAATAACTTTAACAGTGAAGCATGCATCTAACTCTGGGGGGAAAAGCTTAGCATAATAAAATCACCTAAATAAGTCTGTGAATGAATGAATGAAATGTTAAGAATGAATAGTACCCAAACACATTTCCAAAACTGTAAAAGTTTATTTAAAAATAAAGCATTCATGAATTATTTTGACAAACATTTTACTGTCTTAAGTGCACTCATTTATTTAGCCTATAAATTTAAATAATAATAATATTAATAGCTATTATTATTATACATTTAGGTTACATATGCATTTAGAAGGTTTTATCCAAAACGACTTACAAAAGAGGAACAAATGACTCCAAAGTCAGTCACAATGCCAGGTTTATTAAACAATAATAATCAAGTGCTAAGATTATCACAAATTAAACAAGATTTTGATGCACATCTTTTTTATTAAATCGTTGTATTCCACCTCGTACCGTTACAATTGATAGAGAATCACTAAAGACTATTTGCTGTAGGCCTATTCCACATAATAATATGCAATAAAACAATATACAATATGATTCGTTAACACGTAGGCTACCTAGGAGCTTGCTGCATGAATCCGTGAGTACAGTTTACAAGCCCGAGGGAAGGGATTGAGAAAGCCTGCGCACGGATTATGAATTTGTGGGTACGGATTCAAAAACCGAAGGTACGGTTTACAAAATTGGAAATTCGTGGGTAAGGTTTGTTACACCGAGGGAACAGTTTAAGAATTCGTGAGTACGGTTTATAAACTGAGGGGACGGATTGCAAAACCGTCGCCACTGATTTTTTTTTCTCCTACAGGTGATTTCCCGGGCTCAGTACTTTCACAATGCTGCTGTCTGTATGCGAAAAAAAAATGGTAAGAAGCTAAATGGATTGTTGTGTAAATGTACCTTTTGAAGTATTGTGAGAAGTATTTGTCTAATCTACATTATTTCACAGCTGTCTACAGCAATATTATTTTCGTAAAACGAAAACTAAGACGAAAACGATTGGTCAAACATTTGAAATAAAATTTTAAAAATCTAAATAAATGAAAAACTAAAACGAAACGAAACTAACAACAGTTATTGCAAAACTAACTGAAATAAAATAATAATTATCAAAAATAAATAATCGTTTTCGTAATCATTACGTTCTCACCCCGCGGAAAAATATATGAGCTGTGTGTCGGTTTAGGGAAATACCCGTAAATGGCGCATCATGCACGTGAGGTTATCTGACTGAGAGACGCAAAGCAGTTTAAAGCAGAGTCCTGCACAGGTCCTGTTAGGTAAACCTGCATCCGCAGTACACAACAGAACACCCGACCCGTTATCCGACAGCAGCCAGCACCCATTTAATTCTGTACCCGACCCGTTTGACATAAAGACCGCGACCTGAACCGCACCCGCATTAAATAGGCTACTGCATCAGTAAGGCAAAATTATTTAGTTTCTCATGTGACACAAGCAATCAAACTAAAATAGGCATTTTAAGTTGGTGCTTTGAAGACAAATAGACGAGCAGCGCAACAGAATAATGATAAGAACGCGCATCCTTTATACAATACAAACTTTTGCCTACATCGTGTGAACAATCTGCCAGGCTGTTTTGAACAAATGTGCATAAACTACATACTTAAATCTTCATAAATGAAAAGAACATATTTAGATATGACTTTACTGTTAAGTGCCATTGTCTCCCTTAAACTCTGCAGTGTATAGGCTATGTGGCCGTTAGTCCTTTACAGAAGCATTAAAAATAAATCTTGAAAATAAAATGATATAGGCTACAGAAAGCGAGCAACGAGTGCTCCCAAGCTGTCATTCACTTCAGCTGCAGCGCGAATGGCTAGAATGCGCAACGCTGCAAATCGAATGTTGAGGCTCTGCCATTATTATTGAATTTCATTAGTCCCACTTATTTATGCGCGTTTGTTCGCGGGAAAGTGAGCAAGAAAAGACAAATTTATTAATGAAACTAATAAAAATGAAACTAAATTTTATTGCAAATTTGAAAACGATATTAAAATAAAACAAATTAAAAAATGCAAAACTATAATAACCTTGGTCTACAGGGAAAATCTGCAGGTATTTGCACTTCAAATTTAATACTTTTTAAAGGAATCATGAATGGCATTTTTATTATTATTTTATAATGTTTCCTGAGGTGCACCTATAATGTTTTTCCATCAAAATATAATGTTTCTTAAGGTGCACATTTACAATGTCTTTACATAGAAATAAATTATGATTTTAGCGTCTGATTTGAATGTTTGTTTTGTTTCTGTGAGACTTCAATGGAAACGCCCATTGCTGTGACTGGTTAACACATTTACATAGTAAGAGTATTTGAGACTGCTCCACATGTAATACTTCCTATGTTTTTACCATTACAGCGGTTGAGATGATCTTATCATGTAAAGTGTTAATTATAGCACTATATATTTAGATCTACTCTCATCACATTAGGGCTGCACGATTAATCGAACGCGATTAATCGTGATTGTCATGCACATCTTGTCAGTAAAGCCGGTTCTGTGATTAGTAGTAAATCTCCATCACCTGCTTTCAGGTGGAGCAGCATTTACTACACAGAGCCGTAGTTCTCTGACAAGCTATGCAAAATCGCGTTCACAATCGCAGACGATATAATCGTTGGATTATGAAATCGGCTAAATTGTTTGCGATAATGACAGCTGTTTGCGTATCTTCTCAGTGAGCTATGGCTCTGTGTAGTAAATGCTGCTCCACATGAGAGCATGTGAAAATACCACATTTAATTAGGGCTGCGAGTTCGATACTTTTTAGGCACTGACCAAATTGCCTCGATACCATCGAGTATCGAAAAACGTCTCGTCGTTCGGTACCAAATTTCTATACCTAAGGGGTTAATCTCATCAACGTCAGTGAGCCAATAAGCCTGCAGCACTAGGTGTGCTCGATTAGAAGCGGTGCAGATTGATCAGTGTTTGACATCAGCAAGAGCGATGCGAAAACGTACGGAGCAGTGGTACTGTAATACACCGATAGGTCTGCACAGTCACGCGCCACACTCAGAGATGTGGCTCACACGTGAGGATTTAGTGTGAATGCGTCCCAGCCCCCGTAGCTGTAAGGCTACATTTACACTGGGGCGTTTTTGTTTTAAAATGAAAACGATCCTCGTCATACTGGCGTTTCAAGCCGGCTTTCCACTATCTCTGACAAATGACAGACTGAAAGTCATTCATTTCCAATAGAGAGTAGCGCGGGAGCTGCGTAGAGTTCCAAACATATGCAGATGTCTGTTCATACTACAAGACCGAAAGCACGTGTTACGTGACCATTCATGCACACTGTAGCATCATGCTACATAAGACCAGGGTTTAAATTGGGCCGGGCCGTCCGGGGCTGAGCCCCGGCACATAGACTCCAGGACTTGACATTAACGCTTCATTAACGCCAGAGAAGTAACATGATTAAAACATCAGTAACCAAAAATAACTATGTAAACACCAAAACGCAAGTATTATTCTGATTTTATTACATTTAGAGTAAGTGGCGAATAGTGGATTGCTAATGTATATAACGCATCTATTGACAGTATAAGGTTGCGCTGCTGAGGCGAGCTCACTCCAGGAGAAATCAAAACCCACAACACTAAGAAACTCAGCATCCTGATGTAAAAATTCAAAATGGAAAGTTTTTATATTTAAAATACAGTTAGTTAGGTTTGAACGAATCGATTGAATGAACGACTCAATGACGCACTCATTAAACGCTCACTACTGGCACCTGCTGGCGTTTTAATTTCATTGAAAAGTATAATTTCCACCACCATTTCTTGTTTGTATATTCAAAAATATTTAAAATAATCTCATAATAATTATTTAATGCAGTTTTATTTTTCAGTGTAAACGATATAATTTGATAATCACATTATTATAACTGAATTTATAGATGTAAGAATTCGAAATGAAAGCATTAATGAGATTAGTGGGAATAGAATACATAATTTGTACAAAAAACAAAGCACACACAAACACATACATATATATATATATATATATATATATAAGCTCGATACCATACCATGTTAAGCCGCAACACCGGTTACGTCACTTGTCCACCGCGTCACCGACCCCCACCGTCATTTGGATTTTTTATAGTAATAAAAATAATTTAGTTCAGTAAAAGAACAGACACTACAATTAAAAACTGAACACGGCTGCTCAATGCAGTTGAACGACAGTTGCATCACAGATCAGATTTAATTTCTCCAGTGAGGAGAGTGAGTCGAGCTGACTGACAAGAAGAGTGGGGTGAGACAAAAAAGACGATGGCGGATGATTTAGTTTCGAAACAAAATGCAAAAGAGCCTGTTTGGCAATCTTTTGGATTTTGAAAAGCCTGTTGACTTTTGCCGTTTATCTAAGGTGATTTTGGAAGTTTTTGTTAAACATTCGTTTCTTATTGGTTCCACATTGTTTGCTGATTTTTATTTTATTTAAACTTTGAGTAATTTATTTAATTTTATTTGACATCAAGGTGTATGCCTTGCCTCCAAGCTTTCTTACTCGTTTTGCTAATAAACGTTCTACGTTTCTTATTTATTTGGTTATATATTATACATGTTTACTTGTTTCCAGTTTTGTACATTTAAACTTTATGTAAGTTATTTGTTATTTTATATTAGGCATAGCCTGCCCTATATCATGGTGTATTTTTGTTTTGTTAATAAGTTATATGTTTTATATATATGCTAAAGTGAGTTTGACTTTGTATTTTGTTGTTGCATTCAAGCAATTGACGCCTAACTGCCGCTAATTCTAAAGTGAAAGTAAAATGTGGACTGCGCTTTTATGCTATTTAAAAGCGAAGGAAAGCGAGGAAAAGAGGGAAAATTCAAACGAACTAAAAATGAACAATTACTTTACTCTGAATTGCCACTATTTGAAAGTGAAAGTAAAATGCCACGCCGCTTTTACAAGCTATTTAAAAGCGAAGGAAAGCGAGGAAAAGAGGGAAAATTCAAACGAACTAAAAATGAACAATTACTTTACTCTGAATTGCCACTATTTGAAAGTGAAAGTAAAATGCCACGCCGCTTTTACAAGCTATTTAAAAGCGAAGGAAAGCGAGGAAAAGAGGGAAAATTCAAACGAACTAAAAATGAACAATTACTTTACTCTGAATTGCCACTATTTGAAAGTGAAAGTAAAATGCCACGCCGCTTTTACAAGCTATTTAAAAGCGAAGGAAAGCGAGGAAAAGAGGGAAAATTCAAACGAACTAAAAATGAACAATTACTTTACTCTGAATTGCCACTATTTGAAAGTGAAAGTAAAATGCCACGCCGCTTTTACAAGCTATTTAAAAGCGAAGGAAAGCGAGGAAAAGAGGGAAAATTCAAACGAACTAAAAATGAACAATTACTTTACTCTGAATTGCCACTATTTGAAAGTGAAAGTAAAATGCCACGCCGCTTTTACAAGCTATTTAAAAGCGAAGGAAAGCGAGGAAAAGAGGGAACGCCCCCGCCCCTACGGTGATACCGGTATTACCGGTGTTGTCACATGTCGATTAACCACCGTCACAACCCTACTTCTTAAACAGAATAATTAAGGCACACAATATTTCATTGTATTCTAAGCAGTGATAATGGCTATGTTGATTAGCATTTCATTATAGATATACTTTATTATGATGAAAATTATAATAAGAAGAACTCAGATAAACCCTATATTGCCGTAGTCGTGTGTTTATTAGTCACGTTGAATCAATGAAAGCAGTTAAATCTTCTGTTTATTCAGCTGCAGCTATAGGCATTTCCTGGATTTCTACTTCGGGGGCGTATTTGGATTTTCAGTGCGAGAGCGCCCTCTGGCCTTCGGTTGGAGATTTACTACTGATCACAGAACTGAGCTTCACTGAAAGATATGCATGACAATCGCAGCTTCTGCCTAATCGCGATTTATTGCTTTTGTGATTTAATTTCGATTAATTGTGCAGACCTACATCACATCAAAAGTTGCAGCGGTGAGCAAATTACAGTTTGTTTGATCTCATCATTATGTCTCGTTTTCTGCACTTTCACGAAAGGCTCTCATCATAACTAATGGCAAACATGATGAAAATACTGTAAAAGGTTCATTGTGTTCTATAAGACATCCATTGATTATAATGAGAGTTTTAAGAGTCCAGACAAACTTGTGCTGTGTGACTGACAGCTCCAGCAAACAGGGTTTGTTCTTTTATCGCATTCTGTAATTTAACAATTTAAATAACAGATTATATTCATGCTATTAGGAGAAAAAATGTTGAATTTGGTCACTGGCTTGATTTACTGACACACACACACACACACACACACACAACAACAACAACAAAAACACTGAACAATTTTGAGAAATAAAATCTGACTGAACTTGAATAAGTACACATCATAAATCACTGATTACAGATCAGACATAAAAAACAAGTTTATTTCTATGTTGTGACAATGCTGTCAGGTATATATCTTACAGTAAAAGTCTGTTTGCAAAGCCTGCTGCAAAACTGTTACTGATTTACTGTGAAATATACCGAACAAGCAAATAATGCTCTACTGAGACATTCACATGGTTGAAATATAACCACAGTCCTATAGCGACTTTACTTAAAATCAGGGTTCCCACTTTTTCATGAACACCAGATTCAAGGACTTTTTAAAGCACCATTTATTTTATATCAAGCACCTATCAAATTCACACCCCAGCATATGTAGTGTCATGAAAGACCTTACATTACTTAACATTTCACTTACACGTAACATTTACATTAAACATTTCAGAGTAATAATGTTTTGAAAGTGTAGGTTTCATAAATTTAGACTATTTTGAGCAGTTGTGTTCAAAGGAATTTAATGAAATCCATTGAAGTCAGTACTGGTAATATTCTAATTCAATTGATAAAATATGCATCAAACTGGTTTTTGCTGTAGTTCTTGTGCAAGATTTAAATTTGAAAGAATTTCTCAATTTTTAAATTAATAAAAAGTGGTTAAATGTTGTAATAACATGGTCAAACCTGTTAACATTCAAACTTTGCACATTCACTCAAAAGAGACGTTACTCATTAATGAATAAACTCAAGTCAAAATAATTTTGTAAATTACTTTTTATTGTAAATCCCATTTTTTCATCTTTGACCTAGAGGAATGCAGCTGCTAAAAACGTCAATATTTTTTTGAAAATATTTCATGAACGTGCAAATCTGCAAAAATATATAAAGAAAATAAATTTTTAAAAATAGGACTTTCTATTTGCTTTTAATCTATAAAAGCTTTTCACTAAGCTGTTTTTCCACATTTTCAAGTTCTACATTTTTCTCCTTCACTCCATGTTGCAGTAAGTTTTGGGAGTTCATTTTTAATCCATCTCCTATCCTGAGAAGTCTGTCTTGCAGAGACTGACAAAAATGAGCTCCTAAAACTTACTGCCGGATTCTGGAAGATAAATTCTTCAAACAGTGGTACAAGAGGATGTGATGCTGGTCCTTTAAGAGTCACTCTCAACGTATCTGTCCATAAAGCCTATAAGAATAGTCTTCATGTATTTCACAACACTTCGGAATGTTATTCTTATTAAGTAGGGGTCATTTTTTACCCAAGCAAATTTGCAGTTCTGGAAAATAGTGGCACTGGAGACTAAAAGTTTCCTGATGGTTTCACACTTAATTCTTCACATTAATTCTTAGCCCAGCCAAACCCATAGACTGCAGCCGTGGCGGGGATGATTTTTGGTGTGCCACAGGGCAGAACAACAACAACAATGAGCTACTTGTTTCTTTTCCCCTCATTTTTTTCCCAATTGACGGAAACCCGTCGTAGCAACTGAAAACTTGAATCCCTGCATAAACAAAATGTATTTCTAATTTAATTCAAGCACTTTCAAGGACCTATGTTTGTTTTCAAGTACTTTCCAGGTATTGAATCAGTATGTCTGAAATTCAAGTGTTTTCAAGTACTTTCAAGAAGTGTGGGAACCCTGACCTAGACAGTCATTGGCACAACTGGACTGAGCTGGAGGATAACATCACTGAATCAACGATGAACTGACTTTAACTGAGAAATTGACTGTTGACCTCATTTTAGAGCTGCTTTACAGCAGAATTGAATTTTGTTTGCATTATTGACACACTATTTCCATATTTAACACCGTGAAGATCCTTTGACACTATAAGTATTGTATAAAGCACTATATAAATAAAGGCGACCTCACTTGACTTGACACATAACTCTATTATAAAACTGTACATTTCTGCAATATGGACATTACATTGACAGTCCTTTCTGACATTTCTCTTCATAGTAAAAGAAACATGCATTTTAAGTAAAGCTATGCATTTGTAAAGAAAAATTTTAACACCAATTTCCCGTGAATAATTATTTTCCCACAAAATGTATTTAAAATTTAATCCAAGCAATTTCAAGGACCTATGTTTGTTTTCAAGTACTTTCTATGCCTTGAATCCATATGTCTGAAATTCAAGTATTTTCAAGTACTTTCAAGAAGTGTGGGAACCCTGTAAGACTAAGTTACTAGCGTAAAAATAAATTCAGTCTCACAGTCTCAGTGAAAATAAAGTCTAATAATTAAATCTGCTCGGTGTCGGTTCAATTACATTTCCATAAAAACATTGAAACATGGATTTAAGACTTTTTAATGACAGTTAAAGGTCTTATTTTTACATAAAGGATCTGTGGAAGTACCACAGTCATTAAAGATGAATGAAGAATAAACACCAACCTCCTTGTTCCTCGTGTTTTATCCTCCTGGGTTCTGGTTCCTCGTGTTTTATTCTCCAAGGTTCTTGTTCACTCGTGTTCTCTTCACTCTCCTCTTTAACAAACACCATCTTCACAGCAGCAGATCTCAGTTCAGATGATACTCCTCCAGATATCCCTACTTGCTTCAAAACTTAGTCACGACTGTGAGGACGAGAATATTACAGGTATTTATTGACCTGATTCAAAAACTGTATTTTTATGAACAGAAACAACATTCTAACAGTTTGTATTAAAACAGCATCACGATAGTGAGCACGGTGAAACTAAACTTCTTCCTCTGAGGTTTATGTGTTTGACAAACAAACGAATATGTTTAGCGCCACCCGCTGGACTGGAGTGTGAATTGGCGAGAAGAGGAGAATATTTAATACGGGGCAAATTACTTTCTGCGTTTACAGGTGAGCTGGTTTGTTTTCCTTTGAAAAAGATGATCTGCACAAATAAATGATAAATAAATTATAGACTCGCATGGTATTTGATCAACACCAATCTTCGTGAGTGAGGATTGGTAGAGAAAAATTAGAGAAGTCAGTGAAAATCACACAAAGGGCACATTATGCAAAAAAACACTTTTACGTGGTGTTTAGACAATGTGTGTTGACACCCTTACAAAAAATGACTGCAGTTTTTGTTACATGTAGAAAAATTAAGTTTTTTTGGACACAAAAAACTGCATTATTTCCATTTTACTGCAATACATCTGAAGTAGGCCTACTATTGAAATACAACTGCAATAGAGCTGCAGTATTACTAACAAACAACTGCAATAGAACCACAGTATTACTGCAATACAACTGAAGTAGTACTAAAATTATACTGCAATAAAACTGCAGTAGTACTGCAATAATACAACCGAAGTACAATACTAATAAAATGCTGTACAGTAACACTGAAATGCAACCAGAATATTCAGAATAACATAATATAATAATGTTTATTTACAAATCACGCAATCATGCACATTTCTTCCCTCATTATTCAGGCAGGTTTAATTTTTTGAAGAGCTTATCCTCATCGTTCCGCTGGGTTCTTATGACTGCCTTTATCTCAGATGTGGAATCCACTATTTTGGATGTAGTCTGGAAAAACAAACAAACAAAAACTTTCAGAAATGCTCAAGTTTCAGTTACACTTTTCACTACAGGTATATTTATTATGCTTAAAATAAATCTTGAATTGTGATGTCACCAAGTGTTTGTGAAAAGTATTCATACTCCCAGTTCATTTATTATGGCATATTGGTCAGCATACAGAGAAGAATGTTATTTTAACAACATAAATTATTGTACACAGCAGCAAGCCATCTGTACATAAAAAACAACTCTTAATCTATAACTAACTAATTGAGGCATAATGATATTGGAATATACTAGCAGAGACCCCAAAGTTAGGCAAAGGTAAATAATGGCTCTTGTTAGTACCAAGTTTATGAAATAGAATTGTTTTATTACAAAAAAATTAGGGATGCACCGATATGAAAATTTTGGCCGATACGATAACCGATTATTCTTTATTTTTGAAAGCCGATAACCGATATGTTGGCCGATAAATCTATATCCAAATTGTTATATACTTTTTGAGAGCCTGATTACAAAAAAGGTCTCATCATTAAAAGCCACATCCCAAACACTTCAACATAAGCAGCCTAGTTTGAACGGTGTACGTTTAAAAAATAATTTTACTCTCCCATTACCAAATTTAGTCATAAAAAAGCCTTACAAATAAATAAAATTATGCATAAATAATGCAAACAAGTCACTGGACATCATTACACGTGTAAAGAATCAAAATGAATGCGCCACAGATCAATAAAACGGAATAGCCTCTGCACGGACAATAATTAAATGATTTTAATTACTAAACCATATTGTTGATGAAAATAATAAGAGAAAAATACAAGTGGTTGTTGTTATTAATAATATATCAATGATTTTGAAAAAGTAACAAATTAATACCACTGTTTTAAATAGCAGCCATTGAGCTGCAGCTCAAGCTGAAGCTGAAGAGCTGAATGAACACGGTAAACTGAAGCGTTTTGCTGGCAGCTTATTTAACTCAAGGAAATGCATCCTGAGATTAATATTAATACAACATAAACATAATATTACAACTTATATATGTACAAAATGACGCAGTTATTGCATGCTATAGTCAGAATGTGTGATCCTGTTGTGGATGCGCTCTTCCCATAACAACGCGCTGAAACACAGCAACTAAACCCAAAGAATTCACAACGTTTTATTATAATAATGTTCTCATTAGAATTTTATATACACGACATTCCCAATCATAGTTATTAATGTTGTGCACTGCTGTTTGAGTTTATCACCGGTAAACTGAAGCGCTCTTTTAACTTAACCAAACGCATTCTATATGAGATAAATCAGATATACATCAAATAAACACAATATTACAACGTACAATTGCACAAAAGGCTGCAAACGAACAGCGCGCATCTGAAGTGTCTCTGAAGGAAATAATGCATTATTTATCGGCTTTAAGATATCGGTCAAATTTTCTTATCAGGCCGATACCGATAACAGAAAAAATTAGCATTTATCGGCCGATACCGATATGGTGGCCGATATATCGTGCATCCCTAAAAAAAATATATATCCAGGAAATTATATTTACACAGAAAACAAAAACTATTTATACTATTTATTGCAAAATAGTGGCAGTTATTTGCACCTCAGTATTGTAGTACATTATAAAACAGTATGCAGTAATAACATATTGAGTGTAAATTATCATTTTAATTCAAATTATTAAATGGATGTCACCTTATTAGGACAATAAAGCGCTCCCTAACCCTACCTGATACTTTATTTTTTAACTTTTTGATTATTTCCTTAATTTTCATTGAAAAAAATGCTTTTCTGATGTGATTTCAAATTTGAAAACGGAGAAAAAAGTTTGCCAAAAGGCGGCTCCGAACCCAGGTCGATATCGCATCAAAATGAGCAAGTCATCTGCGCCACAGGTATGGCGTTATTTTACAGTCAAATGTACACTTTTGTAGCACGAATGTACATTGCTACGATGCGCGAGCGCGAATCTCTCCGCTCGCACACGGATTTACTTTGCTCTTGCACTAAAAACCGGACGCGCGCTCTCAAATATGCGCTGCTCTTGCCCAGAGTGTGCTCGCACTTAAAACGTGTCCGATGCCATCACGAATCTCTCCTCGCGCTCAAACTGTGTCCTTTGCACTAGCAAATCTCTCCGTGCTCTTGCGCTACAAATTAATTCACGAGTTCACACTTACATATAATGAACAGAGTAAAGGTTATGCGTATTTGGCGTGCTGTCCGGGGAGAGGGCTCTGAGCTCCGTAATTACTCTCGAGCCCGGGGTACTCCCCCTGTCCGGGGAGAGGGCTCTGAGCTCGGTAATTACTCTCGAGCCCGGGGTACTCCCCCTGTCCAGGGAGAGGGGTCCGAGCTCGGGTCTAAGTCCGGACCCAGAGCTCTTCTAGCCACCACTTTACTGCTTTTCTAACTTCCGCCCAACTGGCGCCCCAAGCAAATTCCCAACATTCCTAGCGCTACTGCTACGGAATCTCAATTGTCTCAAATGCAAAATTGTAAGCATTTAATACATCACAGTCATATTAATCTAAAGTATATTAGAAATGGCTGGGATTAGGGTGCTTGGATGATTTGTGCAAATAAATAACCTAGTAATCTGTCTAACTGGTTGGTCAAACCCCTCTATAACACAATAATAACTAAACTAATGACTAAACCTTGTCAAAAGTTAGACTTCCACGACTGACCGATGAAAATGCTATGGAAATCTAATTGGCTAAGACTGCACCTGTTCGTTTGACAATCAAAGATGGATTTGCAATTTCTTTACAATTTAATATTTAGTCATATTAATCAAATGTATATTAGAAATGGGGTGCTTGGATGATTTGTACAAATAAATAACCTAGTCTGTCTAACTGGTTGGTCAAACATCCCTGAGCGATTTATCTAAACAAACAAAAAAAGTAGCCTACATGATTCGGTTCAAGTGGTCATACATGTATTGTGTAATTGGGTTGGAGAGAAAAAATAAATAAATAATATATA